ATCACATACCTCAGTATCGATACTAAATTGATACAAATAACAGCCTCAAAATATAACTGAATTAAAAACAGAGATCATAAAACTCTACAGTAACAAATGTGTTGCTTGTTTACAACACATACTTCTCAGTGCTCTGTACTCATTAAAACAGAAGCGATACTAAACAAACGTCTGCGCTTTCAGCAGTGTGGAGTGAATTCAGGCCAACTTAAACACATGTGACTGGTCATTACATTCACACGTTCAATAGAGATGTCCATGATTGGCTACAATGCTCAACTCTGCAAAAAAACACTGTAAATAGAAACCTTTGACACTCATCACAGAGTGTTTACACAAATACACACAAGAGCAGTAACATTATATATTGTCTTATTTTATATCATCAGCAGCACAATTACAGCTTGTTCCTCTGTTGTCACATTTGCAGGTTTCACATCAGTAACACTGCAGCATAGCAGCGAACCTCGGAACAGCAGCGTATCAAGCACCGAAATGAGCAAAATCATGCATGATATATTGTATAATTTGAAATATAATATATACCGGTATTTTGCTAGTACCAATATACCCTGCAATCCTATACTCTGTGTTTGTGAGCCTTTAAAAGCCTGGTTATCAGGGTTTAAATTTCCATTTATTTTTCATGTGATGAAATATGACCCTGGACCACAAAACCAGTCTTAAGTCGCTGGGGTATATTTGTAGCAATAGCCAAAAAAAACATTGTATGGGTCAAAATTATCGATTTTTCTTTTATGCCAAAAATCATTAGGATATTAAGTAAAGATCATGTTCCATGAAGATATTTTGTAAATGTCCTACCGTATATATATCAAAACCTAATTTTTGATTAGTAATATGCATTGCTAAGAACTTCATTTGGACAACTTTATTTTTATTTTTTTATTTTTTTGCACCCTCAGATTCCAGATTTTCAAATAGTTGTATCTCGGCCAAATATTGTCCTATCCTAACAAACCATACATCAATGGAAAGCTTATTTATTCAGCTTTCAGATGATGTATAAATTTAACCAGCACAGCTATACACTGTTATACAGCAATCTGAAAACTTACATAAACATACATACACCCACGTTTGGTTCACTATATTAGTAAGGACAACTAATAAACTTCCATTGTTTTTACATCAGGTAATTTATATTTTCTCTCACCTGACCTGACAAAACACTAAATAGAAACATGATTTAGCCAATGTACATGCCTTTTCAACTATAGGTCCGACTTCAATATGATATAGGTTTCACTAGTGCCAGCTGGGCGATAAACCAGTTCAAACGGTACACCAGTTTGAATTACGTAACAGTAATTTTTAAGTGCCTATGCAACGTAGACAGCATCTTGAATTGAGAGTTATGCAAAGATCACCGGTGGCTTCAGATTATTGTTGTTTCACATTCACAGCACGCTAAAATATCACACTCTTACTTCATCTGGACAAACTGAGTATCATTAGAAAGATTAAATACTCTAGCTTCGATATTTGACCACTGTTGCGATAAAACTCGATTGCAGTGACAGTAATTTCTTAATTTATGTCAGGAGTGCAAAATAATAAATCGTTAATGTATGATATTTTTAATATAATAACAACACGCATTCATATTCAGTAATGTCTGCTGCGGTTTATTTGCATGTCACATAGCTGCACTGAACTGCGTCCATTAGAGCTTATAGTCCAAAAGTGCGCATACTTCTTCAGACAGAATCATCATTTCTATTCATTTTCCACTGTTTTATGTGATCTGATGAGCATTTGCTGCTTCCAGTGCTGTCTGTCTGTGTTTTCTCTTCCGCAAAATATTGAATGAAAATCCTAAATACTGAACTGGGAGTGGGGATTTACATGAATGTATCTCTAAGGGGAACTGACTGTCTTCAGAAAACCTGCTGTCAGAGTGAATTTGTGTTCTCATTCAGACTGTCTGCTGTTTTTGATTCATGCAGATGTTTTATGTAGTATAGTTTAACAAACCTAAAGTCAGACCATTCAGTTTTTGCTTTAAACTGCTCATGCTGCATCTTTGTTTGGATAGTGATTAAAATGCAGTGGTTCTGCAACATTTTCATGCATTCTGAGTCATATAATGGCCCAGTCAGGGAAAAACCGTGATAAGCAGTGAAACTGCCACATGATACAGATATTTGGTCAAACCACCCAGCACTAGGTTTCACTATATTAGTGAGGACATTTTTGAATAGTGAGGACATTTTGGACCTCAGAAGTATAGTCAAACCTGCACACACACACACACACACACACACACACACAAACACACACACACACACACACACACACACAAAAAC